TAACATCAGGACAGTGCCTTATGGCCCAGAAGGGCTAAAACATTTAGTATCTGCCCTTTACAGATGAAGTCTGTCAATTCCTGTGTTAGATTATGCCACAATTAAAAATCCTCATGAAGTTTGCCACAATGAGTTAAACTCTGTATGCTGTAATGGGTAATAAAAAGGCAAGATAAATAGATAAATAGATGGATATGGAGTTCCTGGTGGTGCAAATGATTAGCATACTTGGCTGCTAACCAAAAGGCTGGCAGTTCAAACCACCCAAAGGCACCTTGGAAGAAATGCCTGGCAACTACTGTCGATATATCCGCCACAGAAAACCCTACTGGAGCACAGTTCTGACACACATGGGGTTGCCATGAGTCAGAATCAACTCAGTGCCAACTGGCTGTTAAAGATGAATGCACATATCAAAATTATATAAAAACATAGGAAGAAACAATTCATTGCTTTGGGTACTAGAAACTATGATTTAATATTCCTTTCTACTTTTCATTTTCCTTTACAGTGATGAATAAACTATTTGAAAGGCAAAACTCAGCACATGCATAGCTGTTTAATTTATATAAAAGTCAGAAAATAATCTTAGCACTTACCTGTTAATACAACTTTCCCAGATACAAAGATAAGCAACACAATTCGTGGCTTTACCATTCTATAAATAAGGCCAGGAAAGAGTTCAGGTTCATAACTATCAAGATATAAAAGGAAAGAGTTTAAAAATAGCAGTATTCAACTACTGTCCCATCACATTCAAGACATAATATATTAAAGCTGCATATTAAAGCAGTCAAGTACCTTTACCTATTTTACCAAAAGCCTTTCCCTCTACAAGTTTTCCTTGACCTCAGATTTTCCCTAATTATATTAAATACCCACCACTTGTGTGTTATTTTTTCATACTGTCATGGCTTGCATGTTGCTATGATACTGGAAGCCATGCCACCAGTATTTCAAATATCAAATTGTCAAACATTTTACTTGGATCCACAATCAATGCCCATATTACATTGGGCAAACCTGCTGCAAAAGACCTCTTTAAAGTGTTAAAAAGCAAAGATGTCACTTTGAAGACTAAGGTGCACCTAACCCAAGCTATGGTATTTTCAGTCATCCCATATGCATGCAAAGGCTGGATA